TCTTCTCCAACCTGATGGATTCTACATCGCCTATCGAGAAAGGCGATGGATAGGCATGCGTTAAAACATGTCCTAACCATCTCACTCGCTGTAACTTCTTCACAACCTCGTCGATTGTTTTCCCTCCCCCTTACCTAGCACTCGACCGATGACAAACCTCAATATTGCACACCCTATTCTACCACCTAACACGGGAGATAGAACTCAGACACCTACGATCAAAGACAGCTAGCTAGTCAGGTCTTTTCTTATCTTCCACTTTCAATGGGAGTCACGTCTCACTCACATCCATAAAGGAGGACGAAGTGAACTGCTGCTGAGCAGTACACCTGCCCTTTGGTAGATAGACAGCCAGATATCAATTCTATTAAGCCACTGATGGCGTAAGTTGGTATATGCCAAACGAAGCCTCTGTATAAGTGATGAGATTTGTTCGGCAATCGTCCCGTTGGGGGTGATGCAAGTTCCCAGATAAGTGAAGTGGTCAACCACTCCACCAGCTTCTCTCTTTAGGCTAGGAGTCAGTGTAGTCCAGTCCTGTAGCATCATCTTATATTTGATGGGAGCGGATCTCATGCCAAACTTTCGAAGATTGCTGCTCCTCAAGGTGTCCAGAAGACTCTGCTCTTTTTAGTCGGAATATTCACCTATAAGAACTATATCATCTGCGTGTTCTAAATCAACGAAATTATTCTCAGCTAACAAGCCAATCCTTGAGTCACTGAAGTTAGTTAGCGTTAAGACCATTACTTCATCTGTGATGAAATTAAACAGAAATAGGGACATAAAACCTGACACTGTTTATTAGAATTTTCTGTTTTCTGTCTTTTTACTTCCCCTTTCCTCCTGTTCTATTTTGAAAGCATATAAATTGATGCTAACCTCATACGAAAATTGTAATGTTTACAGTTCGGATACATTAATTTTATAATATTTTCTCTACTACCATTCAAACATTGAAGTATGTTATGACCAGATAGTGATTGATCTGAAGTTGGTGATAACCTGTATCATGTAGGTCTTCGAAGATTGACGATACACTGTGTGAAAGATAGCCAATGTTTCAATTTAAAAATCCTTTAATACCACATAACTTGAAGCAAGCAAATTATGCTTATCAAATCTATGTGGCTTGGATGTTAATTTGCAGAATACGCTTTAGTTGTTAAGCCTGAATAGTAGTCAGATAGTTAGATAAATAAATAACCAGACAGGTAGATGGCTAGCTCGCTAGCTAGCTAGGTAGTGACACCACAAATGGCCTAAGTCTTTCTAGTCGACTAAACTAAAATTAAGTGGCATTGTGAGTAGAATACAGACAACAGCAAAAAAGAACAGCACTTATCTACATAAAACCATCATCATCATCATCATTAACTATAAAAATCAGGTATATATCACAAAAGTTTAATATAATGAATAAACAAATAAATCATTTTTCAGTTTTTAAACATTAGATTTCAGGAAATGAACACCCTGTTCATTATTTATTTTTGTATTTTACAGTTCTTTCATTTCTAAAAATGCGAAACAAAAGAGTTGTAATCTGTTTGATTGTGTTTGTGTTTTTGTGGGCGTGTGTGTGTGTGTGAAATAGGATGATTGAAGGATGAACAAAAACACCCCTTAAAAAAACAATCCATCTACTCACATACTATTATCATCATCATTATCATCACCGTCATTTTTTTCTTTCCCTCGAAATTGATGCGGATTGATGATAAGCATAAAAAAATATACTTCGAATTTTTCTAAGCTGAAACTTATTCATGCCTAATTTTTAATATATGTGAAGAGAATTCGATTGCGTAACTACTATTCATAAATTAGAAATATACTTACTGGATGGATATTTCCTCTAACTTCGGAAATGTCGAAGCAGTGTGCACCACTGATTACATCAGTGAATGGTTACAGAATTGATTACAAGCTGGCATCACTTAGAGAACCCCCGGAAAACTATGGGGCAGGACGAAACCAGTGTGCTACGAACCCAGGGGCTTCTAGCTACAAGGGGAGTTCTTAGACTACTTAACCATTAGGACCTGATGTAGTGGTTGAAAAATTTTAACTTTTGCTAATTTGCGATATTAAGTGCCACCCCCAGCCAGCCAGTGTCACAGGCGAGTAATTGTTCTTTTGCCTGATTTACTGGACCCCCCATTAGAACCACAGGTAACTTCCTGGACAAAGTCAGCACTGGGTTCGAACTCCAATGGGTGCATACTGATGAAGAGTTGCAGGTGTCCAATACTCCCTGGTTTTCATATGTTTCGGTAGCTGATGCTGGCTGGCGATCACTTCTGAAATTCAGTATTTGTTTTTGGGTTTAATTTAACTTTCCCCGTTGATTATTGATTATGCTGAGGCGAAATGTTCGATCGTTAGCTACCTAATGGATAGCGCTTTAGCGATTGAAACTAAGGGTGCAAGTTTTGGGTCTGATAGTTCCAGAATAGGACGAAGTGCATTCATATTGGATTCCTCTGCTAGTCACCTTCACATAACAATTAACGTGAACTTCTGTATGTTATAATTCAAAAATCTGACCGAAATTTATTGACACAGGATTTACTTATTTCAGAGTATGTCCTCCTGCATATTTCTTAGTTTGGCAATAGTCTATTGATTGATTCTGCCCCTGCTAGAGTTTCTTGTTGTTTGTCCTTTCTTGTAGACTGACCATCTTAGTTTTAGTATGAACCAAGCAAAGTGAACAGCTGTTGACAAAAGTCTGCAGTACATTGTCTGAAATGGTTTTGATGAGGGGTGTGTGAAGTCTTCTTGATCCCCAATGTCTGTTGCATGATCTAGTCCACCATATCAGGAATATCGTCAGTAATAGCGGACATTCTTGTTTTACTCCTATCTTCACTCTAAATAACTGTGTACAACTATGCGAATACTAACTAACTACGAAGCAGAAAAAAATAACCTTTTAAAAATTCTTATAATTAATCAACTGTTTAAAACAATTAGTTCCCTTTATGAATTTAGACAAAGCAGTAAAGAAGACGTAATTTGTCTGAATCGTGTAACATTGTATTTGAGCAACATATTTCGAACAATCTGATCACACGTGAACTTGTCAAAGGAATATATATACGAAATTAATTAAGAGTTAAGAGGTGAGAAAATAGACTATTTAGGTCAAGTTAAAAGGACATGTTGAAGGTCAAAATAACAATGAAGATCGATCACCAAATCAAATAACATAGGTATTAGTACATCCATCCTGGTTGGTTTCTAAACAAATTTTACCAAAGGAGGTTTAAGTGTGATGACAAATTGTTGCATTGAACGTATAAAGATGGTTTAAACATTCGAATTGCTAGCTAGGGCTTACACAAACTTTAGGATACGCCCTCCCCCAAACACGTTTTATAGATAGGTTTAAAAATGTGTAAACTTCATATCCTTTCTCTATGATACGTTCTCACTATTAATGGGTTCTTGGGATTCTGTTTGCTTCTGGAGCCATTTAGGAATATGCTCCGAGGGCAGCCCTTACTTGCAGAGATCAATGAGCCCCCCTATGTATGTTTGGCCGTACGTCTTTCCAAAATGGTAAATACATTGGGATGTAACATCATTTTTCGCATGTTTGAAGGTAATAGATGAATATATTGCCTTCACATTCTCAATTATTATTATATTATAACTGGACATGAAATTGATGTTTACACGTCTATCAAACCCATCTATTGAACGTGTTTGGGGGAGGTCATATCCTAAAGTTTGTTGAAGTCTTAGCTCGCAATTCGAATGTTTAAACCACCTTTATGCGTTCAAAGCAACAATTCGTCATCACACTAAACCTTCCTAGGTAAACTTTGTTTTGATGATAGCATAGGAGATGTACTATTTGGTTTAGTGATTGATCTTCATTGTTATTTTGACCTTCAATGTGTCCTTTTAACTTGACCTAAGTAGTCAATTTTCCCACCTCTTAACTCGAATCCCGGTGGGTGCGTACTGATGAAGAATCCCAAACTAGGACGAAACAGTTGTCCAGTACTCCCAGGTTTTCCAATGGTTCTCTAACTAATGTCAACTCATGATGAAAATCCTGTAACCAATCAAATCCCTACAAACCAACACTTGAATATTAATTTCATATATGTTCCTATGACAAGTTCGTGTATGATCAGATTGTTGGAAATGTGTTGCTCAAATACAACATTATACGATTCAGACAAATTACGTCTTCTTATTGCTTTGTCTAATCTATTGTTGTGATTATTTCTAGTAATTTTAATATTGTACTAAAACAGGCTGAGAATTTCACACTGTATCAAACGCACTGTTTAGAATAAAGCTATTATTGATATTGTCTAGCTAATCAGTAGTCATTTATTTTTATTTATTTTATTCCTTTACGTTTCCGGTGGAACGTATGGCTTCAGGCTGGAGCTTTGAAGCTTCGGTAGCTGTGGTGTTTCTTTTTACGGGATGGGGTTGCTAGTCTCATGCACAATCTTCCGTCTTTACCAGTTAAATTACAAGGTTATCAAGGTTAAGGAGTGCGAACCACATGCATGGTTGGCGAGTATTCTACCGTTGTGCTACCGACGTGTCAATAGTCATGCAACTCATTAATTCAAAACATAATCTTTAATTAAGAAAACTGATGTGGTTTAGGGCAGACTGGTAGGAAGTGGCCAAAACTGAAATCGGCATTTTAAGTCAGTGGCTGCAGAGGCAGAAGTGTTTATTCCTCAAATTTGGATATGCCTACGTTGTGGACGTGAAATAATCTCATTGGGCAACTTGTTCAATCTTGGGCCAACCACCAGTCAATCGGGACAAAGTATTGTTCTCTGACCTAGCCGAACTTCAGTGTGCCTAAGAATGCATAAATATTATGTGATTTCCCTTAATTAAGAACCGTTACTCTAAGTCTCTTATCTTATCCAGTTACACTGAACCTGTTTTTATATTATTAACACATATATATATACTTTTGATAAACTGTACCCCGTTGTTTAATTGTCTAATAGCCTTTAGATCCTATTCTACACAATGGTCCAGGATTGACGTATCGTCTAACAGTGAAATGTTTAGACTGTGTTATCGGCCCACCGAAAGATATTCATAATGTGACAATTGTTAAAAACTGGTCCAAAGGCAAACTGGAATTGACTGATATAATTACAACTCAGGTATCTTTTACAAATAAAAAGATTAAGAAAACAAAATGGATTATAGAAACATTTCGTACTTATCAGGTGAGTACATTCCAGTAATTATAATATTTTTGTCACGATGTCCGGTTTGTTATCACGCAAATACCATGTGAAGTACAAGTGAAATCTGTAAATGTTTTGGATAGCAGTGTTATTTAATGCTCAGTGAAATGTTACGGCTAGGTGGTCGATCATTTTGAGGAAACTAGTGACTCCCAAGTGCCTATATCTGTCCCTATTCATTTATCATTACCAATGGGAGTTTCAAAATGTTGTTTAGTTCCCTAGATAAGTATTTTGTTCATCGGCTAATGGTCTAACTGTTGAAATTAGATTCTATTGCTGTTAATTCTAATTTCTTCCGTTATTAGTAATATGTTGCTCTCATTGAATGATAGCAATTTTTATAGAAACAGGTTTTCATCGCTGATGAGTATACTTTCGATTAATGCTAGAAATCAGAGAGCGTTAAGTGACATTGCGTCCGTTAGGTCATCTGAGTGCTATCTCACAATAGTGTGTACAGGATTTAATACTTAACGGAACCTAAAGGTAAACATAATATCTGGCCACTGGGTTGAAAGCTATTCATATCCGTATTCATATCCCTTTGCTATCCGAGTGGAACATAGGGGTTTAGGCTACTGGCTTTAAAGTTTCAGTAGTATAGTTGATCTATTGTTTGCTTTCCTCATGTCTAACCTTCCATCTTTCCTGAGTTTATTACCTGCTAGTCGAGGTTTAGGAGTGCTGTGGCCACGAATCGAACTCTGACCATTCCACCACTGAACCAACGGGGCACAAAGCTGTGTATGTAGGCTGGGTGAATAAAATAAATGGATAGACAGAATACCCTTTAATGTCGGCAGCTGGTAGTTTCAGCGATTCTTGATTTCACTTAAAAGCAGCGAATGAACTCAGATTGGTGTGTGTACTCTTAAATAGTTGTATATTGGAATGAGATAGGTATACCTCTCACTGTTAAAAATTGTTGATTTGTTTTGAAACAATTTATTTTTTTTAATTTTCGATTTACAGCTTGATTCCACACCGTATTTTCAGTACAAGTGTGGAATTTTCAGCATGGATATCGGTAGCCCGAATTCAGGCCAACCATAGATATCGGGTGTGCGCCGGCTGGGGATCGAACCCCGGACCATGTGCATGGTCGGCGAGAGTCCTAACCACTGTGCCACCCACGCACATGAGTTGTCCACGAACACCTTTTTTATTCTAAAAGCGTCATCATATAGAATTCATTTCTTTGACTGACCGTAAGCACTGATGGCTTGGATTACCTCTGAATAACGTTATATGGAAGAGTATTTCTTAATTGAAAGCCTTATTTTTATCAATGCCCTGAGTTTGACGTTGTAAAATGAAATAAATTAGTGGCGGCACCTCTGTCTTCATATACTTCAAGTTACTTTGATCATATACGAATTTAGGATATTTACGTTTCAGTCCGACACTAGCAGGTTACAGTGTCTTTTCATTCTGAGATGGCATTAGATTTATGTAGATTTATGATGAGCGTGGTGTGAAAATTTCACAAAAAATGATAGTTTCATAGTCTTAGTGTGATTTGGTTTAATCTCCCGGTGTGCAAGACTTTAATCTTGCTATTATCTTAAAAATACTTACTAATGTTGTAATTAATTCGCCTGTAGTATTATTTACTATTCTGTCAAGTGATTTTTGTCGAATTGTGTAAACTGCAACTTTGTAAACTTAGTTGAACCAATCCATATCTCCCTGAAAGAATATTGTAAACACAAGACCGAAAATAGGGAACATGGAACACAGTATGTTGGCGAGAATTGATGTTATGTATTTTCTTGACTTATTGGATCTAGTATAAACTTTTAGGCAGTAACTAAAGTCATTAGATGGTTGGAAGCAATCGGCAGGCAGCCTTGGACCTAGGTTTCATGCTTGTTGGTATTCGTCAGCATAGCGTATCTTCAGTTTTGAAGGAACTCATGTCTTTGACTGCAGCGTTGAGTGACACAGGTTTAGATTCCAGAAGGAACATGAGTTCCTTCAAGATGGCAGATACGCCTTGATGACTGGTGAGTGTCAACTAGCATGCAACTTACGTCTAAGGCTTCCTGCCGATTGCCATTGACCAAATAATAACAGTAATTCACAGTACAGCGTGATGGCGAGCTACCTAGCGTGGCGGCCACATTGCAAAGTTGACTGATAGAACTGAGTCTGCACCAATCAAAGGAGTAGATGCATAACACTAGTTACTACTTAGTGTCCAATAGCAGTAACTAAAGTATCATTAAGGACTAGAGAAGATTGAAAAAGCTTCAGTCATTGTTACACATGCGTTATGTTTGAGTACTGAAATTTGCCTTGGAGGATCTAACAGAAAGTAAACTGAAAAATATTACTGAAATTTTCTCTGCCTGTTCATATCATTTTGTAGTCAACATAAAGAAGGTATTGAACATGTTCATAAATATGGAAAACTTTAATAGTAAGTTCGTTAAATATTGTTTTAATTGGATCATTTTGTCTAAGCATTGTCTATTGTCACACAAATTTGAAGATCTACAGGCGAAGACCAACAAGGTGGCAGAAGACACAGCAAAAGAAGGACTTCAACTGAACATAATGAAGACTGAGGTGATGAAGATAACCAATCAACAACAACAAGCACCAACCGCTATCAACACAAGAAATCTAAAAGGGATTACTTCCTCGACTTACCTAGGCAGCATCGTCTCAACTCCAGATAACACCACGGATGAGGATGTCAAAACCAAAATCTGGAAGGCAAGACAGACCTTCGTCCCTCTGAAATCAGTGTTGAAGCCTACTACCTTCAACGTAAGGAACAGAATTCGGATTTTCAACACTTATGTCAAATCACTCTATCTGTGAGGGTCACAAAACATGGCATATAATGAAAAGTGTCTGCAACAGGTTGCAGACGTTCGTCAACAGCCGTTTTCGCTGCTTGGTGAAGGTCAGATGATCGACTAGGAGGGATAAGCAACAGAGAAATCTAGGAACAAACCAACCAGCAACTTACTGTTCAACAGGTATGTCGGAGGAAGTTGCAATCGGCCGGACACACTCTGAAGAGACTGTCAGATGATATCGCGTGCTACGCATACTCTCAAGTGAAAACAAGAAATGGTAAGTTGGTCATCACAGAGTGATATTGGGGAGATCATATGAGGAGGAGCAGATGAGAGCTTATGGGCAGTCGTGGGATCAGTTAAAGAGGACTGTAGAGAACAGAACAAAATGGAAACGCACCATTGAAACCCTGTGTTCCATTCAGAACCTAAAGGATTAATATTAGTATAACATAGTTACTTGGAACAGACCTCTGGTTTACTTTTCCATAGAGCAGATAAAGAGCATTCAATATAACTCTGATAAGGCTATCGTGACAAGCAGGTGAACATTATCAGTAATAACGGAAATGTGGATCCCTGGCTTACATGTTAGGTTATTAGCCAGTAGGCCACGAATTTGAGTTCCTCTCCAGCAACTTAAGTATAAACAACTAGCTGAGTAGTATCATCACCCCCACACATTAACCGTGGCTCTTAGCCTGATACATAAAAAATCAGTTCTAGGTAATTCAGCCAGAACTACTTTGTAATTGCACATCACGACATGATGCAGAAACTGATTAGTCTGTTTACTGTCAGTGAAAATCAACGAGAAATTTTCTCTTGATAAGATTATATACCTTAAAGTGTCATTCTAAAGTATTTTCTTCCATTTTTACAGGTAACATTACAAGCAGAAAATTATTTAGGCTCTCAAAGTTTAACACCGTTAGTATTTACCGGACGTTCAGGTGAAGATGTACCACAATTGTCACCGAGTCAATTAAAAGTATTAAATATTAGTTCAAACAATATTTTTCTCAGTTGGAAACTTGTCAAGGAAGCTGATTTTCCAATAAAAGTTAATGGTGCATTTCAAGGATTTCGTGTAGAATGGTGTGATGCGGATTTATCAAGTGATTCATGTGAATTTCATAAAAATTCTCAGGTATTTAAACGAACTTATTATGTTTTTTTGTTAAATGGCTTTTCTTGAAAGAGAATTTGTTTCTTGTGTGAGGAGTTTACTTTTTATACTATCAAACCACTGGACGGAGGGGATGTACTGAGGTGTAACTTGAACGAAATAAGGGGAACAGATTGGGGAAGATAAAATGACTCCGTTGTATTTTATCGGCTCTCGTCAGCTGCACACAACTATGAACAATGTAATACCAGTATATGAAATATTCAAATATTTTAATTATCGATCAAAAAGGTGATGTATATTAATATCACATGATTAAGTTGCATAAAGGAATCTAACGAAAGTCTTTGCTCAGGTCATTTGTATGCATAGAGGTAATTAAGACATGTTCTAGAATAACAGATGAATGTTGCGGACTGAATAGAAGTGTAACATCAACAATACACTTGTGTAGGGTCAAATAATTTAGTTGAAATGAGGTCACAAAAGGGTATGGTCAAAAATGTACATAAAGACAAAATAGAGTAGGATATTGCATTGTCCAGGCGAAATATAATTAAATTAAAAATTAAAAAAAAGAGATAAAGGACTAAATAACGTAAAGTGTATTTACCAAGGTAAAGCAAGATTAGCAACGGTTACTTTGGGATGCATAAGTTCGGTTTTAATCGTTTAGTGGCAATTTATTCAGTGATGTGTAGCAACCTGGAGATGTCTTAAAGTGAGGGAATTTAGATACATCAACTTAATGATAACTATCTGGAAATCTTCGTCACTCAACATCAACAAGAAAATTCGGATTTTCAATACAAACGTCAAGTCAGTCAGTTCTTCTATACGGATCAGAAACTTGGCGGGTCACCAAGAATATTTCCAACAGCCTGTTGCAGACCTTTATCAACAACTGTCTTCGCTCTATACTGAAGATCAGATGGCCGCCGGAAAGAATCACCAACAAGAAACAATGGGAAGAAACAAAACAAGAACCAATCGCTCAAAGAATATGCAGGAGAAAGTGGAGATGGATTGGACATTCGCTGAGGAGGCCGCTGCGGGGTGACATCGCGCGTCAGGCAATAGCTCGAGTGGAACCCGAAAGGGAAGCGGCGAGTGGGACGTCCAAGCGTGACATGGAGGAGATCGTGTGAAGAGGAGTTGAAACAGTATGGACTAAGATGGATGCAAGTGAAAAGTACAGCAGAAGAGAGAAGCAAGTGGAGGCGTGCAGTTGAAGCCCTATGTTCCACTAGGAACTCAAGGGAACAACAATAATAATAGCCTAACAAGTAACCAGCGGTGGCATTATGTTACATCCAAATGCACATGCCAATTTTCATGTACATGTCAAAGAAGGACTTGTAACCGCATATCTGAGCACATTCAAAGGAACATGTAACTGAAAAGCGGGAAAATACCTAGTAGTGCGAATACTCACCAACTGTTGGGTAGCGGTAGTGAAATTGAAGACAGCTTAAGGCTGCTAAGAATCACTGAAGCGATAACCATTAAACACACATAAAACTGAACTTATGTATTCAAAAGGAAGGCGTTGCTAATTCTGCATTATTATGGTGAATGTACTTTATGTTACTTCAATTTTGTGAGAGAGCTTATGGAGATTGCTATAACCAGCTAAAGACAACCGCAAAAGGCAGAACGAAATGCAGATGTGTTATCGAAGCCCTATATTCCACTCGGAATCCAAAAGAATAATAATATTTTGTTTTCCCAATGTAATTTCAAATTCCTAATTTTGTCTTTTTCTATACTCGAGATCGGAGTATTTTTTGCCTATCATTCAAATAAACCATTAAACCTCTACGTTAGTGTTTTGTCAACCTTACAGCTTTAAATCAATTCGCGACATCATGCCGTTTAATCAGATGATGGCACGAACCTGCCGGGGTTCAAACCCAGGACCTTCCGGCTACAAGGTGAACTCATATATCATTTAGCCAGTGAGACATGGCCAAATGGCCCATGAACTCTTATCTGCTGAATAGTCCACGAGCTTGTCTTGTAAGTGGAAGGTCCTAGGTTCGAGTCCAAAACTGGGTTGAGACAGCGCGTGCTGAGTACTTTCTGGTTTTCAGTGGTTCTTTAAATGACACCAGCCCATGGTCAAACTTGAAACACATTGAATTCCTAAGAACTAAAGTATCTGAATATTTTGTAAATTGATGATATCGAAAATGTTTATGATTATATGCAGTTGGGAAGGACCATGGAAATTTAATGATATCTTTCCATTCTTCTCAGCCGGTTATTCTTTTGTTCAAGGTTACCAGGAGGAAGTAACTGTATTGAACTCAGATTTAAGGTACTTCAACAAGTATTCATTGCTTGAACCAGCAAGAGTTTTTCTTGGCTTATTACAGTGATTACAAATGCTCTACATTAATATAGTGGTATAGTAGGTTTGTCAATAAATTCATAGGCTTTAGTCAATCTTCAATTTAGAAATGTCCAGCACCTCCTACTTTTCATACCTTTCAAAATTTTATTCCGTATGAAATATTTAGGCAAATATTCATCCACAGTGTACCGCATAACGCAGTGTGATTCTTTCTGAATCAAGACTCAGTCCTTCATTTACTTCTTGCGATTCATAGCGGTAGGTTGGAAGCCTGTCAAAAATTTACGCCGGTTGATGATGCGATTCAAGAACTTAATTGAAAGATTAGAACAACGAGAAAAAAACGGATAAAAGTAGATGCATCATGCTGGAAGAAAACTATGGTAGCCCAGTAGTTCAAGCAAGCCACCAGATACATGCGATAAAAACCTACTTCTACATAAAACCCCCTGAATGTGATCCAGATTTATGCGGAAGGTAGCTGCCAACAGGTGTGAAAGGACCAGTGACCTTGGAACGGTCACTTACAGCAAGGTGGTGAAACTATGTAAGTAATACCATATTCATGAGAAAAAGTGTCGAAGGCAGTTTGAGAATATATGGTTAATTTTAGGTTAGCTTAACCAAATTCGGGAGGTTTCAGGGTTGGTTAAAGATAAACTAGAGTCAGGGTTGAGTTAGAGATCCAGATTCACTTTTAAGCGGAATCACTGGTTCCAAAGTCATCGGTGAGTTTGCTTCTATTCTATGCCCTTCCATTATCCAACGTCTCTTTTATTTAGTCAAAATATTACTTTGTTTCCAATGTTATAGGATTATATTCTGGAGAAACCTCCAACATGGTCATTTCCAAATTTACGTCGAAAATCTACAACTTCAGAGCATATTTTACTAGATAAAATGGACAACATGAATAATTTAGACTTGTCCACGGGATTCATTTCTACACCCGATCAAATACAAAATGATGAGAATTCGAGTATTAGATTAGAGGATAATGTGTATAAAGCGTATCTAAATGAATTGCCCGGCAAATCAAAAATAAAAATTTGGGTTCGTTTACTTAATATTCAGTATGCTGGACCTGTGAGGTAAGATATGCATTTGCTAAATTCCCTTATTTGCTTAAAACCATGAACTACTGATTGATTGAGATGAGTAGATGTGCGTCGGTTGCACAGTGGTTAGGACTCTCGTCGACCATGCACATGGTCCGAAGTTCGATCCCCTGCCGACGTACACCTGATATCAACGGTCGGCCTGCAAAATTTGGGCTACCGATATCGCATGCTGAGAATTTCATACTTCTACTAAAAACTACTGTGTGGAATCAAGCTGTAGTCAGAAACAATAGTTGTTATTCCTAGGCAGGCTGAAGTGATCTAAATACCGGTTAGATGTCTTGCTCGTCTGGAGCCAAGCAGTTGAGCTGAGAGATGTAATAAGAGCTGGTTGGCCTACGTACTTCATGTTGTAGTTTTGGAATCACAACCGGGTGTGTGTGGTAAATATGAGCTGCAGTTTACCAGCGTTGAAAGATCCTTGAATGAATTTGGTAAACTTGTTGGTTATTATTAGTTCACTTGGAATGTCACCTTCAAATTACAGTCGCATATATTATGGAGGCTTCTTGTCTGCAGATGCACAAAATTTCTTGGTCATATGTTTCTTTGGAAACTTCTCTGGATTGCTATTTTCAATTAGGGTGCCATGTATAGTGTTGAGTTCCTCTTTTTCTGTCATCTATTAGGTAAAAAATAAATTGCCAAAGGTTTCTAAGTACAGAATGCTCTAAACAGGGGAAGCGATTTCAATTGGCTTAAAACAATCAGTATTCTAGGTTTAAAAGGAACTCGTCCAACTACTGTTGATACTCTTGCCTTCATTGGAATCTATAACTTCATAAAATCTTTTTATTTTACTTCATTTAGTGTTAGACTGGTGCATATAAATGCATCTCCTATTGACTAAGTCAAATCATTATGCACATTAGAATATGCAGACATTGAAGTGATTTACTTTTACCTATCGGGTGAGGGAAGTACATTAGTGGTAATGTGTACATCCTTACACATCCTAATCAAGGCAGTCTAGACAAAGTAAACATTAAGTGAAATTATTAAACAATAAGGCGTCGGTGGCACAGTGGCAGAATGCTCGCCAACCGCCTACGTGGTCTGGAGTTCGATCCTCGGCCGATGCAATCCTTTACTTCACTAAGGTAGTAGTAAGACTGGCGATGAGGGAAGGTGGGGGCATGAGTCTAGCAACCCCATCCTGTAAAATAAACACCATTGCTACCGAAACTTCAAATCTCTAGCTTGAAACCCTATGTTCCACTGGGAACGACGAAAGCTTCTCAATTAAATCAACCAGCTCAGAGAACACAATTAATTCAACATTATTCTGACCGGCAGTGCCAAAAATTCTTTTCTACCTCTCTATTCACTGTAAAAACGACTACATATATGTAAGCTTATTTACTGCCTAAAAACTAAATCTATGACACTTCTTACGAACCTGAGAAGCCTTACCAGTAAAGTAGCTGAGTTGTTGTTTTCTCTCCACAGAGCCTAATTACTAAAGGGGACTGATGGCAAATTGCAAATTTAAAAAGCTGTCTATTCCTGGTGTCACTCGAAAAATGACTTAGCTTAACTCTGGAAATACGCTTAACCGGTGATTGTTAACACGTACAAAACCCAGCTTGATTATACAAGCCGACTGAGGCTTTGAATCCCTATGTTCCACTGGGAACGTAAAGTAATAAAAGCAACAATAAAAACGAAAAAACTTGTGATCAGTGGCTGGAAAGTCAAGGGGGAGGGGTCTTCTCCGAACCTTAAGGTCCTGGGTTCGATCCTGTGTAGGTGGGATGGTTAATGAGTACCTGTGAAGAGCCCTGAATCAGGACGAAAAATCTGTCCAGTACTCCAGTTTTCAGTAGTTCTCTGACTGATGTCACTGTATAATTTAACTTGGAAATGTTGATTGGTATTTTTCATCAGTCCTTTGAATGGTTAATGATGACAGAATCAACAGTCAGTATTGAAGGCTGGAATTTTTGGCTGGCTGACCAAATTATTTTTTGTTTTCACACTTTCAGTGATGCGGTAATTGTTGAAACCAAGGAAGGTGTTCCTGGAAGGGTGTCTGAGTTCGATGTCACATTTATTGGTGTAAATCACGTTGAAGTATCTTGGATTAAACCGATGATTTTGAACGGGATTTTAATTTCATATGATTTAGAAATCTACTTGAGTGAGTTCTTTTTCGAGTTAAAGGAATTTCCACTTTGTAAATTTTGCATTATTTTCATTCACATGTGCTTTGACGTTTATATAACGATTAGTTAGATTTTCAGGGGATGGGTTGTTAGTCCCCTGCCCAACTTTCTCCATTTTTACAGGCTTGGAATCGGCTAGTAAACTAGCGAACTGGTGTACTAGGAGAGGTTTGTCTTACCAATTTAATTTTCAGACAAAATGGGTAGGAGAATAATAAATTTTGAATTACGGGAGTACAAAACAGACAGCCAGTGTTTAAAGTCAATGTTTGGAATGATATTTATAATGAAACATGGTCCAACTTATCACTTCAAGGTGTTGACCCAAACCTGTTATATATATGGGTTTAGAAGCATAATTAAAACCAAATTTATGACCCATCCCTACGATGCGCTTTGCGATAGATGATGTCTAACATCTATTTCCAGGGTTAATTGAGTCAGGCGATTCTATTTGTTCTCGAAGTCACTTAAGAATGTGTTCTGTAGTCCTGATCTACAGAAACCAACGGGTCCCCCATACTTACGTGTGACCACGCATACATGTGAATTCGTCACCATACTGGGATGTAACACTGTTATACGAATGCTTTAATGATTTGTAGGACAGCATATATTGCATTTACTCTACGAAAATGAATTTTACTGCACAGTAGGTTTTCCTAAGAATCCCTTTGAGTCTTTGTTTAATGATCAGACTTTGGTGATCACCTTTGAGTATTAAAGATATGTGACCATCTATTTTGGGAGCTGACTGGCGCTTCTGTGGCGTTTCATGAATTTCAGGGTATACTTATTATCTACTAATATTTTAATGAGGTCTTGTACATCTTCTTAATTAGCATCCTGTGTACATATATGTTGAATGAGTTTGAACAAGTAGTTAGCTAACGACTTGTTATACTGGAGTTGACAGAAACTATGGTGATTTAGATGCTATGGAAACCCAAGTGAATAAAAATCATTTCCTAAGACAGTTTCTTGTTGTTTATCCTTCTCACTTGGCCAACTGTCCTTCAGCATAAAACGAGTGAAGGTACCATTTGTTGATTATATACCTCAGCAGGCTGTTTGGAATGCATGTGGTGACGGAATGGCCAGGTCGGTTAACCATATGAAACCACTTACTCGGTATTAGTATTAAACGGAATCTGAATTTTGTTCATTGTGTTGAATCCCACGGATCTCGACATTGACTTTAGGGTGATAAAACTCTGCCTTGCTTTCCCAATCCTGACTTTGAAGTCCTTATCCTGCCCTTAGTTGAACCAATACTGCCCTAGTCGGGTAAGTAGGAGAAATGACTTCCTTCAAATTTCTCCCAATGATGGTGGTTGATACGTGTTATTGTTGTTGACAGTTGGATATCTTCATCAACTTGGTCTTCCATATATTCACATGGAGTCCCACTTTATCTGCCTCTTCCAGCAACTTGTTGCTTGTCGTCTGTATATCTTTGAGTTTGTGTGACACTTGACATTAATCACCAGTGAAGTCTAGATCTTCTAGAGACTTGTTGTCTGTCTGCCTGTCTTCTCTGGGACTTTTAGAACTGTCGGTGCAATTAAGCGTAGATTACTAGAAGACTCAGGCTGACATGCTAGTTCAGTAATCTAAGCAGAGAATGTTTCTGTGTAACATAGACGTTAATTGGAAGGACAAGAAACTGGTACTTCAAATATCCCGATCAAAATATTGTCACTTCAGTCATGAATTTTACATTCTGCCGAAAATATATCAACTTCTATCTAATCATAAGGGAACTACATCGTGGGTGCAAATATGACAGTAAAGTAAAATAAAAGTGTGATGATGTGATACAGACAATGTCTACCAACGAAGTATTATTCTCACATATTCCCAAAGTTCAAGACTGTATTAGCAAAAGAATACGATATATCTATTTGAACATTCAATTTGATGTTAGAGACAGAATACTTTTCCAGCGGTTATATACTGCATTAACAACAAAATACTGGGTATATTTGAACATTGTATTTCATGTCGTTTGACGTAAACCGAAATTACAAGGTTAGTGATTGATTAACGAATATAAACTGTAGATATAAAAACAGCGGTTTGATTAATGAAAAATATACGATCTTTTATTTCGTTGCCTTCTCGTCAGCTGCTTACAGTGCAAAGACATTATTAAATACATCTATAAAAACAATTTTAACATAATATTGAGTTCACTATGGAACATGAAAGTGACGGAAATTTCCACTTCCTCGACATCGCCATGGAACGCCTAGAAGACAATGGTCTTCAAAAGTCAATTTATCGAAAGCCCACATGGAAAGGACAATACTTACATTTTAATAGCTTTTGTTCAAATAGCTCTAAACACGGTCTAGTCAAGACTCTGTACTATAGAGCGAGGAGAATATGTTCTATAGAGAAATTAGAGAAAGAATTTGATGTTCTTGAAGATATTGAAGAGCAATGTGTACCCTCAAAGGTTCATCAACAAGTATGGAAGATCTGAAGTCACAAATATAAAACAAATCACAGTGGGAAAAAAGCCAATCTACTTTCAGCTTGATTATAAAGGTGAAAACATTGCAGCGATGATCAACATTACTAGCCATAGCCTATCATGCAGCTAAGCTCGTTCCCGTCTATTGAACAGTTTACTCTTTGGTGCAATCAAAAATCGATAGATATCCTTCTCATGTTAACTCCAACTGTATATACAAATTTACATGTATCTGCGGGAGCAGTTATATTGGAAGAACAGAAAGAAGCGCATATCTACCATTTTCTGAACATTTACCAAAAAGCTTACGTCTAAAGGGAACAAATGCTTTAAACAGTGCCATCGCCAGGCATCTCCTTGACACGGGTCATGAGGTGGACGTCAAAAAGTCGTTCAAAATTATCAATAAGCAAAAGAGCTCAATTCTCCCCAAGCGCCTAAAACCTGATTTGTGCATTCAGAAAGAAGCGGTTATCAGTCTTTCTTTGCCCTGGTAACTGGATATTTTTCATCCAAATGCGGGCTGCTGAAAAGTTTGCATTGTGTATGATTATTATTGTTCGGAATAGTGTTTAATGTTGCATATATATAAGTATATATTATTAGTGTATGCGTATACTGATCGATTGATTTTTGTTTAAAATGAACTCTGTACAAGTATGTTAAAATTGTTTTTGTAGATACATTTAATAATATCTTTGCCCTGTAAGCAGCTGACGAGAAGGCAACGAAATAAAAGATGGTACCACTTTATTCTGTTAAAACTGTAGGTCTTGCTTTGTTCACATTCATTAAGGGGAATAAATGTTTGAAAAATATACCTTTACTTCTGTTGTTACATAGGGAACTGATATACGTATCGTCTTATGATTTCAGTAGACACAAATTATTTGCCTTTACTGAGAATTAGAATAGATACAGATTCATATACCGATTCTTTTGAGAATGGCGGACATTTTCTCCACAAGAATGGAAATGAAGTTGAATAGTTCGGCGCAAAAACCAGTAGTAACCAAATGATGATTTCGACAGTTATTTTAATAGATGTATTTATAATAAATCATATTTTGATTTTTTTTTAAAAGCTTATTTCTAACCCCTAATGGTTATCTATCTGATTGTAGACAACTTTACAGACAATGTACAAACACTTACAAAAGGTTCACAGATCATTTCATCGGTAACTATTGAAGATCCTGAACAGTGTGCTACTCGAATATCCGGTTTAAAAATGAGCACTAACTATACATTATACATTTGGGCTAGAACTTCCGCTGGACGTGGTGAACCGAATTTCGTGAATTTTAGAACAGCAACTTTAAGCCAAGGTATGTGTAAAATTCACCTTGTAAGCATAATTGTCATTATTAAGTTTGACAAAGATCCTGTTAAAATACTTTTTAGTGACCAGTTACTGGTTTTCGATAGGTTTCAGTTTTGCAGATAATTTTTATCATGTAGTAACCTAGAAATTATAGTTTCCTGAATATATGTTACTCTTTGTCATTAGTACATTGTAAAGTCAGTGTTGGAGACAATCAGTGGGAAGTCTTGAACCTAAGTTTTATGCCTGTTGGCATCCATCAGTAAGGCGTATTAGTCGGCTCGAAGAAAGTTATACCCTCCCTGAGATTCGAAGTACTGTAGTGAGAGAGATCGCACACAAAACTTGGAGGATCTGGACTTCGCCGATGACATATGTCTGATTTCCCACAAACTGGAAGATATACAAGTGAAAAGCAACAAGTTGTCAGAAGAAGAAAGCCTTCAGGTGAACATAGAGAAGACAGAGGTGATGAAGATTCCTGGTCAATACCAACAGCAGCAACAACAACAGACAATAATAAGCATAAATGGGAGGAACCTGAAAGAAACAACCTCCTTTACCTACCTGGGAAGCATCGTTTCAACTACAGGCGGAACTGATGAGGATATCAAAGCAAGGATCGAGAAAGCAAGGCAAGCTTTCACCTTTCTCAAGTTTGTGTGGAGGTCAACAGCATTAAGCGTCAAAAATAAGATCTGGATTTTCAACTCCAATGTGAAGTCAGTGCCACTATACGGATCAGAGACTTGGCGCGTCATAAAGGGCATCTCAAACAAACTACAGGCCCTCATTAACAGCTGTCTTCGCTCAATACTCAAGATCAGATAGCCAGCAGAAAAGATCAGCAATAGGGATCTCTGGGAGCAAACCAACCAGGAGCCGATTGTGCAACAAATAGGCAGGAAGAAACGGAGATGGATTGGCCATACTCTGAGGAAACCATCAGTTGACATCACTAGACAAGCCATTGCTCGAGTGGAACCCGAAAGGGAAGCGGCGAGTTGGTCGTCAGTGCGAGGGTGACTTGGAGGAGGTCATGTGAAGAGGAGATGAAAGCGTGTGGGCGTGTGTGGTTAGTCGTTAATGAGTTACAGACATTATCGGTCTAGTCTTTGGCGTGAACCTAGACTCAATTCAATCAGTCAAGTTCGCAGTGTGGTCAGCACTCTAAGTGGCTTGTCATGGCGGTGCACTCTGAATTTATGCTAAATGGTTGTAGGTCGACTGAGAGAATTCGGTCTGTTTCATCAACAAAGACTAGGTGCATGACGCTGGTTACTTTTTGGCGATCAATCGATTTTCAAGCCAATTATCCAATTCATTAGTCTCTAATAAGTGGTTGTAACTAACTAAACTTAGTTCCATGCAATAGTCTTCATGCAAATGGTGTATATCATGCGGCATCATGAATTTTTGTCCAAAGTATGTTGATTTGACATGTTAAGATACTAACAGCAGTCAAAGAAATGGGAGTCGAATATTTTATATTTGGCCAGATTATTATCCTAAAACGATATTTTCGGTACATTTGTATTTCTACAGCATCATTCTGATGTTAAACATTGAGAAAAAGTAGGAAGATCTAATGATCGATCACTAGAATTACTCCTGAGCGAATATGCGAACAAAATGGTTCTTTACTTTGTTTGGTGGTGATAAGTAGTATTAACCAGGGTGCGTATTTTGTCCTATCGCGGGGCTCTTTATCTGGATGTACCTGCATTTCCAGTAGGCGATGTTGCTCCCAGTGAAACTCGAACCCTACGCTCATCTTGGACGGATTATCCGCTATTACTCCCTGGGAATGATGATATATCTGGCCAAAGGGTCCCGAATGGGACGAAATTCGAATCCCTGATACTACTACTGGTTACCATCAACCAAAACAACATGATGTTAACCTTCAGACATCACTGAAGCGTTCGAATTAGGAGCCATAATGTGAACAGTTATCTGCGTAGCATTACTGCCTCACATAATTAGTCAACAAATGTGCAAACTAACTTCGAAATTAAAATGGTTTTTTTTCCGCAATTGTGTTATGTCTTTAAACAAAAACTGCAAGCTGGGATATTGATCTATGCGTCGTTACTAAAGCTTCATATTGGTTTATGTCAGCGTTGTGTCTCAGTAACTGAAAGGAGGGAATTATTGACAGTATCGTTATGCACAAGAATGCAGGTGAACTGAAAAATAAACAGAATAATTACTCCTTGATGGACAGATTAGTATAGAACAAAATATGCGATATAAAATTCGTATATGAACACTCCTGAATATTTGTTTTATTTTCGATGCAATATATGGAATAGTTGTGAATAATTTAATTACTTCAACTCATAGACACAAGTGCGAACTTATCTCCGGATGTCGAGTGGTGTGGTCACCTAGTCCTAAGTGTTTCTTGGAACCTTATGCATCAGTTATACTCTATGATCATTAAGTTGGGTGATATGTGATAGTTTATTTTGATATTAGATATTAGGAGCAGCCAGTTGGATGGTGATTTATGATCATCGAATTCTCCGTACATTTTTATTTTATTCTTTTTCGATCCAAGTGGGACATAGGTTTCAAGCTTGAACTATGAAATTTCAATAGCAGGGGTGCTATTCTGTTTTATGGGGTGGGGTTGTTAGCCTCACGGTCAACCGAGCTTACTGCCAGCTTAGGGAGGTCTACGAGTGTGTCGACTGGATATCAGACCTCGGAACTAGTATGGTTGGAGAGTATTCTACAACTGATTCACTGACGCATTTTGATGTTCTCTCTCTCCTTATGTATATATATGCACATAATTTTTTTATTTTGAACTCATCCTATAACACTTTGTTTCTTTATAGATTTCGGCTTTATTCCGTTCAAAATAAATCCCATTGAAGGTCAGGTGAATGCAGTGAATTTAACGTTAATAACACGACTGCCATCAGTGTTACCAGCATCTTCGACGTCTACCTCATCATATGATTTAGATGATTCTGAGTTTACCACAAATGATAACACTGATTCTACAACAAATTTATTTAAAAGCAAACCAAATATTGATCAATTTAATTCAGAAATAAATCACAATGTTAAAATACCCAGTCGACGTAAATATCAAACAATGTTTTATGTACAATTTCGACAATTAGGCAGTAATATATGGGAAGAAACACAAAGAGAGATACACAACTCATGGATTGTTTTGAATAACCTTCAAAAAGGTAATATAAATGTCTTAAATGTCATATATAATGTGGAATGATGCTTGTTGTTTACTGTTCCCTCTTAGAGTAACTTTGTATTCTACTCAATTCTCATATTGTTTGTGTTTTTGTGGACAAAAATGTTGTTGTTGTTTTTATTGTTGTGAGTGCCGGCGATTGGCCGACTGACACTGACTTCATGTCGCAGTAGTGTATTAGGTTAAAAACAAAATGAAATGTCTGTTGTGGAAAGATTTGAACCACCCCATTTCTAAAAGTGAACCAAGCTGACTGACTAATCCAAATGTCCACTTTAACCAAAACCTAATTATTTAGTGTGGGAGTAGAATTTAGGCACTGTGACAGGAATATACCACTATACTGGGCAAATTTGTTTGATATTACAGTTGGTGAGTGATTCAGTATTAAAAATTTGATGAGAGAGTTATATGACTTAATAATGTAAAATATTCCCATATCATGAATTAAAAGTCAATCTGAAAGAAGAATATTCTTTCAGTACCTCCTTCTCTTCAGGTTCTTACAATTATAAAATATAATATTTACTGTCGTTACAATAATGACAGCTAGTTATGCGGCGGATACATTCTTAACGTAGAATAACAGATTAGTTATGGGGTGTCAAAATAAATAGTCGTATTTTTGTGACAAACGTGCTAGGCTGAAATCGATTACAAAATATTTCGGTGAAATGGGAGACAATGGTGGTGATTAATCATAACAGATTTGTAGAGTATGGGGTAGGAAAATTGACAAGTCAGTTCAAGGTTATAAAAGGTGTCAGGTGAGTGGCCAGTACAAAGTGGTCGGTATTAAAGAGGAGATAGTAAGACTGCAATGAGAGGTTCATAATGAAATAACGAATGTGTGAAATGAAACAGGTGGAGGCATATATTGAGAAAAGAGATAATATCACTAATAATAAGTCCGGATAGTATAAATGAAATATTCGATAGTATTGAGAGAATGTTTGCATGAAGGGTATAGATTATGACGAATAATAATAATAATGATAATAATAATTGTAATAAAAAAAGCAAAGCAAGCACATTTGTCACACAAATACGACTATTTATTTTGACATTCCATAACAAATCTGTTATTCTACGTTAAAAAAATCATTATTATTATTATTATGTATCCGCCTCATAACTGGCCTTTGTTGTAACGACAACAAATATTATTATATTTTATAATTGTAAGAACCTGAAGAAAAATTATTGAAAAGAATATTCTTCGTTCAGATTGACTTTTAATTTCTAGTGTGTGCAGTCAAAAATATCCAATACAGTCCTACAGGAGATCAGTCGCGAGCTTGAATAGCTCAGTGGTAACGTCTCTGACTGCAGCACTGGGTGACGCGGGTTCGAATCTCAAAAGGGACATGAGTTGTTCCTTCAAGGTTGCAGATGCGCCTTGCTGATGAGTGCCAACTAGCACGAAACCTAGGTCCAAGGCTTCTTATGGCCGATTGCCTCCAACCATCTAATACCAACAATTCACAATGCACCGTAATGGCGAGCCACCTAGCATGGTGGCCACATTGCAAACATGACTGATAGAATTCAGTCTGCACCGAAGATAGGACTAGACACATTACACTAGTTACTGACTTGTGTGCAATCAAAAAAATTTCTAACTCAGTTTTATTGGCCATAAACGTATGATGGTTTTCTTCACACATTTCCCTAACTTGCTTCACATAATTTTACTTCCTCTCCTGTTTTTAAAAGAATTTCCTATGTTTTCAGTGACTAACCTCTCCGCTCACTTAAATATATGATAATTTTGTAACGGGAGGAGATAAGCGACTTGGTAACGGAAAGCTTATTTGCATTTTAATATACACATGTAGGGAAATTGTGTATAGCTAATATTAAAATCGTCATTTGCGCAGATCTTCCATATTGTGTTACTTCTATCTTCTCTTTGTGTCTCCCATGTTTCGCCTCAATACTGATACATTTCCTGTCTTTGACTTCAAATCTATCTCTCCGATATTTGATATCACTATATACTACTTTTCAGTAGCACACGCCACACTTTAATACTTTTACTCTGTCCTAATCTATTTCTAATTATATACAACTGTATGCATCATAGTAGATTATTTTTTTCAAAATTACTTAACCTAGCTAGGTCAAGTGTTGTTGATCTGAGTAAATTTTCTAGAGTTTTGATAATCTGACTGATTCCGACCTACTTGTGTGACTTTTGTATTTGACCTCATAAAAAGCTGTCAGAAACAGGTACATTTATTTGACGTGAAAGTGAAGATTGGTCAACTAAATAAGACCTCATATTCTATTTTCAAAGTCTTATTTGGCTTGTATTATTCAAGCTGGGTTTTTGCATGTGTTAACAATCACTGGTAAAGCATGTTACCAGTCTTAAGCTAACTCATTTTTCGATCAGCGCTAGGAATAGACAGTCTTGTTATTCATAATTTACCAATCAGTCCCCTTGAGTAATTAGGCTCCTTGGAGAGAAAACAACAAGTCAGGTACTTTAGTGGTAAAGCCTCTTAAATTCGTACCAGATGTCATAAAATTAGTTTTTAGGCAGTAAATTAGCTTTCATATTTGTAGTCGTTTTTTCAGTGAATAGAGAGGAAGAAACGAATTTTGGGCACAATCGGTCAGTGTAATTCTATGAGCTGGTTGATTTAATTGAGAAGCTTTCGTCAGCCCTCTGGACAACATCTTTAGCGCAAGTTTTAGCATAAAACAAACTTGCTTAAATTCCCCATGAATGATATAATTGTGTCTCCTAGCAATCACTGCTGTGACTGGTTGTTAGATTACGTCTCTATTGTTCATTTTTACTGACTTGGAATTCGAAATTTCTTGTCATGTGATTCACTTCTTGCTTTCATTTATTTTTACTCCTTTACGTCCTCAGTGGAACATAGGGATATAGGTCAGAACTTTGAAGTTTCGGTAGCAGTGGTTCTTTTTTTCACGGGATCGGGTTGCCACTAGCCTCATACCCAACCTTCCCTCTTGACCAATCTTATTACTGGCTTAGCTAGGTAAAGGTGTGCGTCTGCCGGTGACCGAACTCAGGACGACATGCGTAGTTAGCGAGCATTATACCACTGTGCCACCGACGCACAATTCACTTTTTATTAGCTGTTAAATTTGGTCTATAGAAGTAATGTGTTTGTTAATCACTGGCTGATTCGCTTGAGTACCAGGCTTCTAGGAATCCCCTGACATTTTTGGTGTTTACACTCTTAAAAATTTCCACATTATCCCAATCAAATTGGTGCCTATAATTATCTGCATGGACTGATACGAAAGAATATACATCTTTTTACAGCCAATTTGTGTTCGTGGATTAGGGTTCGAAGGGGACGCCCATTCGGACTAATGTAATTTCTGTCGCATTTCATACAATATATTTATTGGGAAAGAATGGAGAAAATACTTACTAACCATCTTTAGAAAGAATGGATATCCTCAATTATATTTATTCATTCGCCTGTACCTGAAGTAGCACGAATGTTGTTACAACTGAGGTCCTCGTAAAAAGAATTCCCGAAAATGTTCCAAAAGATTACCATTAGGTGCAAGATCACTTAGTACTGTTACCGATAGACACATTCTTGATACAGGTCATGCCAACACTTCCTACACAGCTTTCTGGGTGGTAAACAGATGGAGTAAGAGTAGATTACTACGATATATTTAAGAGGCAGGAATCCTACTATTCAAACCTAAATTATGCGTCTAGAAGTATTTTGTAACCAACCTTGCATTCCCCTTGTTTCTATACTTACTATTTTATTATTTATTCCATCCTCTTACTATCCCCACACACTGTCCATTTTCCCAAAAAATTTAATATCCATCATGTTTATAACATATTAATCTTTTCTAGTCTATCTTTCCCTATTCTGACATAATTTTACTTCTTACCACATCATATTTGTTATATTTTAACTTTCAAGAGTTAGTCTGAAGGGATCTGATTTGTTCAAAGTTTGAGCACAGTTTGCTATCAGTTAGAGAACCACTAAAAACCATGCACTACTGGCCAGCTGTTTCGTCCTGGTTAAGGACTCTTCATGAGCGCCCACTCACTTGGGTTCAAACCCATAACCTTCCGGTTACAAAGTAAGGTCGTAGGTCATTCAACCACTGGGACCCAGTGGCCCAATGACCCATGAGTTCCAACTTCTACCACTTCGCGATTTTAGTCAAACGACCAGCCAGTTTCAACTGCGAGTATTTATTCTCACCATCGAGTAGGTGAAGCCCACTGGTCACGACTTCTCATTAGAACTCTATGGAAATTTGTTCTGTAGACATTGACTGGAGAGCACCAGATTAATTTTCAAGAATTATTTTTGTGAAGATTTGATTTGTTTTACTTTTGACTGTGAATTGATATCAGTTAAAGAACCACTGAAAGACCATGGATAGCTGTTTCGTTCTAGTTTGGAATTCTTAAGCAATGAACAACTTGAAACCAGCCAGCTAAAATGGTAGAGCTGTCAGTGAGCTCTATTTTATAAATTGAAGGTCTCGGCTTCAATCTCTGGTGGGGTCGTCGGTATGCACTGCTGAAGAGTCCCAAACTAGGACGAAACATCTGTTCACTTCTATGTGGTATGTATTAATCTCTCTAAATGATGTCAGTTTGTGGTATATGTGTACTCTTGCGTAGACGTGAAAACACTTATTTCGAACTGTTTGTCCTACTAGACTGTATCAAATTATTTCATTTGACAGCGATATCTGAAATTATTAAATTGCACGTGTATTTTCAATTTAGTGCTTTTGTGGATGATTTATATTACATGAAATGGAACTTAATTCATTTGTTCCCGCAATATTTGTGATGGGGGTGATATGACTACGATATGATTATGATCATGATCAATAAACTGTGCCCGAAGACTCCTCCGTAAATAAATAATGCTGTATTATTGTGTATTTTATCAAGTGAAATTGTTCTATTCAGTGGAACAGCGGTTAGGACTCTCGCCGACCATGCAAATGGTCCGGGGTTCGATCCTCTGCCGACGCACACCTGATATCAATTGTTCGGCCTGCAAAATTTGGGCTACCGATATCACATGTTGAAAATTCCATACTTGTACCAAAAATACGGTATGGAATCAAGCTATAATCAAAAAAATTTAAGAAAATATATGAAGAAAGAAACTGCTATAAAATGTCATTATTAAATGGCTTCACATCCAAAATAAATTAGATTGATTCCTCATGAAAAGGAATATCGTTTTGCCAATAAATATATGGCAATACATACTACTTACTGATGGATATGAGTAGTTGAATACCATACAAATCAACCAGTTTTGCTTGCTAATCTGCCAGTCGGATCGACGGGATCTAAACGCAGGACGGTTGTTTCGTGCATATTGTGAGCTGAATAATTTCCGTTTCCAGAGGGTACGGTAGTGAAACTTCTCAAAATGTGTTTAATTTGCAAATCTTGAATTGACATAATTTCCGCCGATAGAATCCGCTTGTTTGCGTACTCGGAGGTATTACGTTTAAAAAGTAATTTTATTTTCTAAAGTTTGGTTTGTAAGGATTAGTTATGTTTTACGAGTTGATCACGGACCGATATCAGTTAGAGAACCATTGAAAACCAGCCATGGAGTACTGCCAGATAGCTGCTGTTTCATCCTAGTTAGGGAATCATCGGCAGTACTCACCTACTGGGATTCGAACCCAGGACATTCCGGTTACAAGGCAAGCTGGCTCGTATATCATTCAGCCACTGGGACCCGATTCAATGGCCAGCTCATGAATTATAACTTCTGCCAATTCGTGATTTAGCGCGACCCCAACCATTGTCGTTGGTGGGACATCCATCCACACACGTGACATCTAATTGGACCTCACTAGTATACGAGCTTGCCTTGTAACCGGAAGGTCCTGGGTTCGAATCCCAGTGGGTGAGTACTGCCGATGATTCCCAAACTAGGATGAAACAGCAGCTGTCCAGTACTTCCTGGTTTTCAATGGTTCTCTAACTGATATCGGTCCGTGATTAACTCGTAAAAAGTTATTTTATATTCTATCATTCCTAAAATTTCTTTTATATATATTTCAGTGTTGTTGAATTTTATTATTTTTTTCTCAGATTGCCAATATGAAGTTCGCATAGTACGTGTTTCAGAGTCTGGTCGATCAACAGTCAGTGGTTCAAAAATTGTTCACATCCCATTTACAGATAATCTAAGCATGAATAACAAATGGAGAGTATTATCGAAGCATAATCGAAAGCTGCTTTATATCAGTCTTCTGTGTGGATTATTTCTAATCTTCAGTCTTATTGGTGGTCTTCTCTTATTTGTCTATTGGTTTAAGTATAAACCAAATACCTGCTCACATGTGATTAGAGATATCCATCCACCACAGAATACCATTAAGAGAACACAATTACGACAACAACAACAACATCATGCTGACCAGTACCACGATCCACATCCACATTGGATGTTGAATGAAAGGATTTCTATGGACAATAGTGATTATTTAACAAATCATATGATGAATACCAGCAACATTAACAGTTGTAATACAACAACAGGCAAATATCCTCTAGGTTTATGTGTGTGTGAGTCAGATGGAGTTCGTAGTAGTAGCGCTAGTAGTAATCGTATTATTACTCCTATACCTACTAATAGTAATAGCAATATTAATGATATCAATCAGTCTATACCACTAATAAATAGTACATATATTACAGATTGTGATCCGCTTGTAAATAATTGTATAACATTTCTTAAATTACCACCACACTGTCAAAGCAATTCATTTACACCACCCGAAGAAAGTTTACTCAACCGCAATAATCATAATAATTACAAGTATACCCATAATGAGAATTTAATCACTTGCAACAGCAACAATAATACGCCTATAACTCAACAAACCTATGCAGGAAGATTGTTAAATCGGCTATGAGTATACCGGTGTAGCTTTTTATACTACTTTGAATAACTATTTTTTTTAAATTTTAGCAATTTTTTTAAAATATTGATGAAGAGCATTCACTTACACTTTATATTTAGGAACAGTAGGGTATAATAGAAGACTATTTTCAATATCTTTTATACTACTGAATTCAGAGTTTTTGACTGATATAGTTAGTGTTGTCTTTGTTAATTGTGTATATTTGAAATAGAATTATATTGCATTTGAGTTTTTGTCGATAAACAAGTCTGTGAAATATCCAGAGATAAGTCGCTTTACTGTGATGCATACATGAGAGTTGAATAGTTGTCAACATGTATGGTCAATAACAACATGATAATGATATGAAATGAAATAATTCAGTGATGTATGTATATATAATCAAGAAAATGAGAGATTTCAAGGGTGATTGTCGTCTGTAGTGTGAAAGCCAATATGAATACTGTGAAGAAATAAACCAACAAATTGGATAGACTGGACGTAAGTTCAGGGGTGACAAATAACAATAACAATTTATATATGCCCAAACCAAGTTCTCTTTTAACGGTTTGAAAAAAATTGGGCATTGGGTATATGATATTCATTATAATAAAGGTTTTTGTATTTCCCAATGAATGAAAAACAAAACGATATTGTTTTTACTGACGTTCCGCTATTTAATGCTAATAGCTTTATCAAAGTATTATTAAACCGGAATTTACAAAATCTCAGCATATATATAACAAACAGTTAGGGGGTGGGAAAATAGACATAGGTCAAGTTAAAGGGACATATTGAAAGTAAAAATAGCAATGAAGATCACTAAACCAAATAACAAAGGTAATAGTATGTCTGTTATGATATCAAAATAAAGTTTACTAACATGATCATCGTTCGTTTGTCTGGGGGCATTTTTAGTCGTCAAGTTGGTGAATTGGTAAAGATAACAAAATCATCATGTGTAGATTGTTGGGTTTGATAAGTGTATGAGATTATAAAAGCAGCGTGTGTTTACATAATGAAAGTGCTTATCACATTCGTGTTGATTTTGTCATTTGGTAGGGGAGGGAGGTGTTGTAACCAGGTCAGATTCTGTTTTAGTCCATCATTCCTATTCAGGGAATTTTGATTCCATTTGATATGAAGTGCTTCTGATATTAGACGTTCTTTGTGATTTCTGAAGTTCTTCTGGATTATTTCAATATTGTCAAAATCAATTTTGTGGCCTGATTCTATAGCATGTAGACCTATGGCTGATGATTTTTCATTGTTTTCATTGTTTTTCATTCATTGGGAAATACAAAAACCTTTATTATAATGAACAATATTAATGATGGTGTGTTTGTGTGTGTGAGTTGGTGGCACAGAGGTAGAATGCTCTCCGGCCACGTATGTGGTTCGGGGTTCGATCCCCGGCCGACTCATTCCTTTACCTCACTAATGCAGTAATAAGACTGGTAAAGAGGGAAGGTTGGGCATGAGGCTAGCAACTCCATTCCGTAAAAATAAACACTACTGCTGCCGAACCTTCAAAGCTCTATCTTGAAGACCTATGTTCCACTGGGAACGTACAGGAATAATGATGATTTGGTGTAAACATAAAAGTATTATTACTGGACGATTATCAGGAAAGAAAGAATTTGATAAAGTGAAATGAACAGGATGGTGTAGATACAAGAATAAGTTTGAAAAGCATTACATAAACCTAAGAGTAATAGACATAACAGGAAGGGTTATGAACTCGTAAAATTTCTGAGACAAATGTTTGTCAGTGAAACGAAAGGGAAAAAGAAGAGCAAAACATTGTATAGGGATTTTAAATGCTAATGTAGGCCAAGTTAAATAAAGCGGTTGGAAATACTTCTTCTGTATACAGAAACCAGGTCTTCTGGTTTTGATTGCTACCTATTTGGTCACTGATGAAAGATACGGTCGTGCTACTGTAGGTAAATTGCCAGTAACGCAACACATAATCGAGAACGCCTGCCTTAATTTTTATTGAGTGTTCAGAATTTATTGAAAACAGTTGTCCGGTCTAACTATTCTTATTTTGACTGGATGGAGGATTTCATCATGAGCTGAAATCAGTTAGAGAACTAATGGAAAACCTGGGAGTACTGGACATCTGTTTCGTTCTAGTTAAGGTCTCTTCATCAGTACGCATCCACCGGGGTTCGAGCCCAGGGCCTTCTGGTTGCAAGGCGAGCTCGTAGACCATTGAGCCACTGGGACCCGGTTCAATGGCCAGCCAATGAATTCTAACTTCCACCAATTCAAGACCTAGCGCGACCAATTAACAATGTCTTCTTCGATGAGTTACTGCTTCATCTTCAACCTTCTGTGACCTACTGGTTACGGTCATTTTGAATAAATTATGAGGATATTCAAATCTATCAGCATGTTGTATTTCAACAAATAAGTGGAACATACTTTTGGAATCGTTAAGCATATTACACATAAAGAGATAGACCTGAGAACAATTAAGCATAAAAAAGAGGTGCAGGGCATCTTTGTGTTCAAGGAATCGCATGTGCAGTTTATACAAGTTAACTAATTTTCTGCAGTTGACAGATATCAGTGTCGTCTGACATATATAGGGTAGTTCATTGTCTGTTATTTTCCTACGGTAATAATTCAGTTTCACACAGGTGCGTGTTTTATACTTAGCGTTTATTTCATCTTAAGATAACAACACGCAATTTAGAGTAACATTTCTTAGCCGCTAAATTCTTCATTGATGAAGCGTAAACGTCGTATGAGGCACCCAGACTACAGATAGAGAAGGCTAAATAGTGTGGACACATGAAAAAACTGTTAACCTTAGTACATAAGAGAATTTCATGCTAACTGCATATATCTGATATTTGCTTCGCATTTAGTTGTATCCCCCGAAAAGGTCTATTGCCGAGTTCTTCATATGCTATTTTTCACGCACTTATTTACCTTCGATTTGCGACTTTCAGAATAACGTACACCACAATACTAGATTACTTGGTAGGGCAGCCGGATTCTTTCTTCTTCTTAGTCCCACTGTCAAAATAAAGCTTCACAAAGGAATTACATCATTTCGAGATCGTCAGCTGACTTATACGTCTTTCAAATTCCTTAGTACCGCGTAAAATTCATACTAAAGTTTGTTAAAGTGACTAAAACTAAAGTATTTCGAAAACCAACAATCCTGTTCTTCTGTATACCTAGCCAGACTTCCGCAAATAACGCACTATCAAAAATTATATATTCCAACAACATCAACAACGCCGTCCGGCAGCTCTATAGTGCAAAAGTTCCTCGGGTAGCTGATAGGTATTGTTCAACAAAATTAATTGATCAGACATTATTTTTAGTTGCTTGAGAATTAATAAGTGTTCCTAATTAGCAAAGACAACTGCTCTTCAAGAATCTAACTAAACACGTTTCACGCAGACAGTTCAAAGTCAAGCGGTCAATCCATATGTGGCCTTAAATTCACTAAAACAAAAATTGCAACAGTAAAACCACACATTATTACTGACAGCGAAGAATCACATAATGTTCAAGTGTTGGTTTGCACGGATTTGATTGGTTTCAGGATTTTATCATAAGCTGACATAGGTTAGAAAACCATCGGCAAACCTGGGTGTATTGACAGCTGTTTCGCCAGCCTAGTTTGAGACTGTTCATCAGTACGCACCACAACGAGCTCGCAAAAGTGAGAAGTCGTGACCAGTGGGGTACAGGTGGTAGGGTGTGGGGAAAAATACTCGCTATATCATCAATTGGCGGAAGCTGGAATTCGAAGCTGACCACTGGATCGGGTCTCAGTGACTTAATAGTCTATGAGCTCGCTTAGTAACTGAATGACCCTGGGTTCGACCCCTGGCGTTGAGTGCGTGCTTATGAAGAGTTCAAGACTAGGACGAAACAGCTGTCCAGTACTCCCAAGCTTTCCAATGTCAACTTATGATTAAATCCAGAAGTGGTATTCCACTGGGAACAAAGAGAAACAATCATCTAATTATTCTTCTTTTACAATCAATAAAGATATCCATATGAAAACTACTCATCTGATATGAATCGAAACAAGATAGGTCAACAGAAAATATTCTCGTAACATCACTCCGAAGCTGTGCAGTTATATAGTGATGTAAAAGGCAAGAGAATCACACAAAAGGTCAAACTGCGCAAACCAAAATGACAAATCACACTATTTAAAACCAATCATTGGTGAGCACTGTTCAGAAATGATTACGATTAAAACTTCAGGTGCCCAGAAACAGCAACATCGTTCAAAATAGTCAGAGATTCAGAATCTTTATAAAGTATATTTCAAAAGTGGGAGTTTCAGAGCAGAGAATAAGAAGAGAACAAAAGCCGAGTGAAAATCAGCCGAATGCAAAATTATTGTATAATTTAAAGAAAGGCAAGTTTAAGGCTACAGTAGTAAAAGGGACTGGACAAACCGTTTCTGCATAAACAGTTCAGGATTCTCCCTGTGCATAGCAACAATTTCTATTGTGGACAGAATATACAGCTGGAAAAACCCTTCGAATAACTTGACTTTACCTCATACATTACTTTGAGGGATTTTTCCGAATTATTCTGAATATCTCACGATTGTGAACGATGCTGCTGTTTCTGAGCACCTGAAATTTTAATCGTAACCATTTCTGAACAGTGTTCATCACCGACTGGCTTTAGATTATGTGATTTGTTATTTCGATATGAGCGATTTGAACTAATGGGCGATTCTCTTACCTTTTACGGCCCTGCACAACCGTACAGCTTCGGAGTGTTGTGGCAAGAAGAATATCCTGTGCTAACCTATGTCTCATGGAAATGCCTATGTGAGAACAGTGATACACAGATCAGGGATGTAGGGGATAATAATTAGTTGAAATACTCAACATACTCCACATAACTAACCCTTACAAATCAAACTATAGAAAATTAATCTGATGCTCGCTAGTGACTTGCTACAGGATGGAGTTTCCTGCAGTTCTAGTGAGAAGTCGTGACCAGTGAGGTCCAGTTAGATGTCACGTGTGTGGATGGATGTCCCACCAACGACAATGGTTGGGGTCGCGCTAAATCACGAATTGGTAGAAGTTAGAATTCATGGACTGGCCATTGAATCGGGTCTTAGTTGCTGAA